CCTCCCTAGTTTCAGCAAGATAATCACCATACTAAACTGACTTCTGGACCTGACTTTGTCTATACATAGGTTAATATGATTCATGTATTAATTGTGCAAAATGCCTTCCATGTCTTGTGCTCTCTTCCTTTCTTCTGCCCCATGTTGTGCCACCAGTCCTACTTGCAAATCATATTGTTCCCCAAACATAGGTAGGGGTTCATGTGATCAGGAACCGTGATATATGATGAGTCTGTGTTTAACCCCCCCCTCCATTTATATTACTAGAACAGCATCTGCTTGCTGGCCGCTCTGACTGATTTTCAGTGGGCCTCAGAAAATAGTCTTAGGATAAGAATGCATGTAACCTATGGAAAATTGTTGCACAGAAGCTATTTGTTTACATCAGATCAGAGCAAGCCAAACTTGAAATAGCAACTTCAGAAATGAGCCCTTCAGCAATCAAATCGCTCCCTGTTTTAAAAAAGGGGACATGGCTATAGTCTTCATTGTCCTTTCTGTGCTATGAGCAGCTCAGTCAACAAGAATAATCTCAAACATACCATTCACAATAGCTACTTTTTAGGAGTCACTTGCTCTGCACTAAATGTACTGTCATTATAGAAGAAATACTGCCTTTAGCCCAAGCGGTACAACACCAGCTGGGCAAAAATCCTCAAGAAGCTACTATGCACAACCAGGGATTTTCAGAACTACAGCGCAAATCTGACAAACCAGCTGTTGGACAGCCTACTCCCATTCAACCATGTTGCCTATAGCAAACCCATAAGGTTCACAATGTAAGCTTGCACTGTGGGAACAGATGTTGGGCGAGAATTAAATGGCTGGACATCTCCATGGCTATTAATCCAATTTAGATACAAAAATATCATTTTCATTTTTGCTGTCTGTGCTGGGAAAGATTTATAGCTTCTGTTATAACCCTTTCAATTATAATCTCTAATCACACTCCTGCCATCAAAGGAGAAGCAGAACAATGCTCAGATCGCATCCTTTAGGATGTCTGTGCTGCACTGCATGTCTCCAAGATTTCCAGTTTACTAAAGAATACCCAACATTTATCATATTGTTAAAAAGCAAGAGCCACTCAATAAAACATCATGGTAGGGATCCTAAGTTTTGCATCTAGTTTCCTAAATCCACTTTCTGAAAAAAAGAAAAGAAAGAAAAAAGAAAGAAAGAAAGAAAGAAAGAAAGAAAGAAAGAAAGAAAGAAAGAAAGAAAGAAAGAAAGGGCACGAAACCCAAAACACTACATGCATGTCCATGTGTGTGGAGCAGATCTGTGTGTTTTATTCCGGGTTCCTTTTTTCAGAATTAAAGGGGACCGACATAGATTTCTAGTATGACACCTATCTGCTTCTTGTGATTCCTCCCTGTCTTGTTTATGAAATGTGTTTATCTCTATCCATATCCGTATCTGTACTGTATCTACCTAAAAAGAATTTCCACCCAACCCTACATTATTCTAATGAGGTCCTAAAGGGTTTGGGCCCATCTGTCCTTTCCTTTTAACTCAACTGATAGATACTGGTCCTACAATTGACATTTTATGTTTGCAACTTTTAAGTATATCCTCAATTTTTTCTTTGCTTCCCAATTACGTTACTGCTACATGGAGGGAAAGAACTGTTAAAAAAACCAAACCCTTTAATTATTGGTGAAATCCTCCATTGTATACCAAATATTTCCTACATGGAGGGAAAGAACTGTTAAAAAACCAAACCCTTTAATTATTGTTGAAATCCTCCGTTTCATTTTTGGAACTGCACTGCTGCCAAGCTAAGGATACTAAAAAGTACAAGTTTTTAATGTCTGCCTGTTACTCAATAAGTTTAACAGAATGGCAATGACCCAAAACACACATAAAACAAAGACCTCAATTTTCTAGTCCTAGCATGCACTGACCTCAATTTCTGCATGCCTTTGTAATCAGCGAGCTCAGCACAGATTTTCAAGGTATCTCACCCACCCCCAGGACTATGCTCAGAATTTCACATAGCAAATTCTACCCGCTTCATTTCATGATAGTACCAGTCCCCCCCTCCACATTTTTTTTAAAAAAATGCTCAGATTAAAAGGATTTCAGAAATGCCAGAAATAACACTATCCTGCTAGAGCAATATGGGGTGGGGTGGGGAAGCTGCTAGATAGATGTTTGTTTTAGTTGAAAATAAGATACAAGGCTAACTAGGAAAACAGAAGTACAAAAATAGTCAATGCTGACATAAATTCTGCTAAAAGTGGGGCAAGGAGGGTGATTCAGTATTTAATCTTTACCAGAATTGTATACATCACCTAGGCTTATAGACAGATACACACACATTATCCTTCTGCTTAAAGATCTTCTGATACAGAAATCCATTAGTCACCCTGATCTATCTTGATGCTTTAACAATTCATAATGTTGGTCTCCAGAAATTATCAGAAATGCTTTGCAACTGCGCTTCTGTGTTTAACTTCTAAGATTGAGAAAAATACAGCTGAAATGCCACAGGAGTTCTCCTACTCAGAGAAACAAAAACATTGTAAGTCTTTCAATCAGTCACCATACATATACATGTATGTCTGACATAATCTGCTATAATGAAAAAAAATCATTTAGCCATTTACTCCACTAATTTTTATGTGAGTGCTACACTGCTGGAGTGAGTTCCATGTAAGCCCAACGCCTATCAGGAACTGCTCATGTTCTCAGCTGTTCCTCTCCCCATGTGAATCTGGGGATAATACTGTTCCTCCCCCAAAGAAAGTTACTACCAGTGGCATAAAGTACACAAAGCTTCTGAAACACTTTAGTACACTATAGTAATGCTAGATATTAGAATCATATAATAATGGAGTTGGAAGGGGCCTATGGACCATTGAGTAATCAAGGTCAATGCAGGAATCCAAATCAAAACACATCTGACAGATGGTTGTCCAGTTTTATCTAGTCCAGCACCAAAGAAAGTTACTACCAGTGGCATAAAGTACACAAAGCTTCTGAAACACTTTAGTACACTATAGTAATGCTAGATATTAGAATCATATAATAATGGAGTTGGAAGGGGCCTATGGACCATTGAGTAATCAAGGTCAATGCAGGAATCCAAATCAAAACACATCTGACAGACGGTTGTCCAGTTTTATCTAGTCCAGCGTTCTGTTGCCACTCTGGCCAGACAGATGCCCATGGAAAGCCAAAAGCAGAACAGGAGCACAACAGCGCCCTCCTATTCATGTTTTTCAGCAACTGGTACTATTAACTATGATACTAGAGGTAATATATGCTCATCATGATTAGTAGACATTCATAATTTTATTCTCCATGAATTTATAGGATTCCTTTTCAAGCCAGTCAACTTGGAAGCCATAATCACTACATCTTCGGGTAGACATCTCCAGCACTTTTGATGCTAAATGGAAAAAACACTTCTTTTAAACCTGCTCCAAATCTCTCATTATACAACTTTATTAGATTAACTCAAGTTGCATTTTGGGAGGTGAACATAATCACCTCCCTATTTACTCCCTACAAATACAGCTAACAAGCTTTTGCCTACAATAGAATAAAGAACTCCAGAATCAGGATAAACCTCTGGCTTCAAAGTTGGTGGTGTTCCAGTTCAGAACAGCAAAGTATAAAGCTGTATCCAGGATTTGGCTGTTTTAGCCTCTATATACTTATCCTTATCTGGAAGTGGCGTGGTGAGCAAACTGAAATTTTTCTCACTGTCTTGGACTTTGGGGCACTTGGTGGAAGTGGAATGGAATCATTGGTTTACTAGTGTTATGTGTGCTGTCCTGGCATATATTCAACTCTTCCACCCTTCTGAGTCAACCCTATTATTAAAGATGGAGTGAGAAATGGAAAGAAATACTGTATATCCAACAGAGGAACAACTCATTCTCCTCTTTTCCAAATCTATCTCTCAGCTTAGGTGGGGAAATCAGACCCCACCAATTTGCTGGGATGTTCAAGAAAACATATACACAAATGGAAACAGAAGAGCATTTGTACTGCTAACTTATACAATCCATTTTATGGCAGGGTTAGGCAACATGCAGGCCAGGAGCATGCAGCCTCATGAACAAAAACACCACAAGGCCCCTCTGCCCTCAGCCCTACAAAAAAATTCCTCAGAAATTTCCTTTGTAGGGAACATGGAGCAATACTGTCCTGATCTGAGGGCCACTCCACATCCCTGTTTCTTTTTCTAGAATATATAGTTCCATCCACTAGAGGGAGTAGTGGGGCTTTTCCAGTAAAAAAACATTATTTTAAAGACAAATGTTTTAGAGTGTGGGTTGGAAGAACAGATGACATTCTCCAAGACCAGATGTGGACATGTGTGGCCTCCAAAACTCTGGAGATTACCCACCCAAACCTACAGGATAATTCACACCATGTCACTGGGACAAGGTTGCCTTGTCATCTGCAGCTCAGCAACGTGCAGTTCAATTTTAAAATTTCAGTGAAAATGATACTATGGTGTGGTTGCTATAATGGAATGATGAGTCATATTGGCTTTCAGAGCACTTAGAAACAAACCACATACAACAAGCTTAATCTCTTTGGCATGTTTGTCCTTTCCCTTTCCCAACAGCCTCAATTCAATTACCAAATCAAAGTAGAGTGGACCCACTAAACCAATTGTTGACACTTGTTTTCTCCCATTGATTCAATTGGTTTCTTCTGCCTGGGACTAGCAATCGGGTTTAGGTCAGTGAATTTAAAAAGTGGTAGTTACCCTGGGCCTTAGATAGAATCTACTAGCCTTGTAGCTATACTTTAAGTAATCTTGTCAGCTTTCTGACTCAAACTAAGAAGCAATTAAAATCTGTATGCATTATCACGTTGTGGGCTGGAAGAAATGAAAGCAGGGACTATTTTCATTTTGGACTGCAGTTATCACTGTACAGATTGCAGCAATCACAGTTTCCTTTGAAATTACGTTCTGGATTCTTAACTCTCAAATTTCTTGGATGTTTATGAATAGCAACACTTCAAATACTCACCCACTGCAGTAGAGTAACTGGGAAGCTCGGGGTAAAGTCTATTTGTTGTTCTTATATCTGCAAGAAATTCAGAACATAGCGTGTCAATCAATGTGGCCCTTTTAGTCTGGACTGATAATCTGAGTTTGCTATTGTGTTTAGTTTTGTCCAGTGCAGAGCAGCCAAGCAGGCTTTTGGATGAACACCAAGTGAGGACAAAGGAACAAAGAAAAAAAACAAGAATTAAACAATAAAAGAATAGAGTAAAATCAATAAAACACACTAAGAGAGAACAGCAAATAATTTGGCAAAATTCTGTTGCATAACTTTGTGCTGGCATAACCCAGAATAGGTGTCAGAAACACTTCATTTAAACTCATGGAAATCTTCCTTTCCCCTCCTTTCAACTTGAAGTCTCTCTAGGGTTCCCGTTTGCCCCAGGGAAGCCTTTGGGAGCCCCCAACTTTAGTAGTAATAAATCCCTGCTAGACCACCACCTGATCCCAGCTGCAGTGATCTGGGGATGATTTTTTTTACTATTAAAGGCTCCCCTCCACTGTGCCCCAAGGCTTCCAAAGGCTCACTTGGAGCAAAAAGGAGCCTTAGGGAGCCTCAGAAATTGAAACGGGGCTAGGGCGGGGGGGGGGAATAGGCAGCTTTCCAAAAGTTGAATAATCATCTTAGAACTGTAGAATTGGAAGAGGAGGGCAGAGATCAAGGTACTAAGTTCTTACATCTAGATATCTGAAAGAAAATAAGATAGGCCTTCAACCTTTCAAAATCAGAAGGGTCTTAGATTCATTATTGTAATATCCCTCAACCACCCTCAGCTGCAGAATATTTAATGTACTATATGTTTGATTAAAAAGCCTTTTAAAGACCAATGATTTTTAAAAAGCCAAATACGGGGGCAAATTCCCAGAGTGGCGAAATGTTGCTACAGTTGGTTGGAGAGCAGTTAACCACAAGTGTAGAAATACAGTGGTGCCTCGTATAACGAGGAATCCACATAACGATGCCTTTTTTGCGATCGTTTTTGTGATCGCATACCGATGTTGCCTATGGGGAAAAAT